GCCTCATATTATACCCGGCCATGGGGCTGCTGTTCTTTTAAAGACGGATTCTTGTAGTCATTAACTACAAGTCCTATAATCCCTTTTCCCTCCCAAAAGTGGTTTATCCAGCCTCCTTTTTCCAGAGAGTTCTGTCTTTACACAAGTCTTTCCCTTTGATCTCTTCCCTCCAGCTATACTGTAACTGTAGCGGAGAGGTAGTATAATCCACAGTATCTCCGCTGGTAGACAGGAACAGCATGTAATAATCCAAGTAGGCAGGTACAGTATACAATAACCCCGGTAGCGTTATGAGAATCCTTCCTTCCCAAGAACTAGACGACACATAGGCTGGGAGTCAACTGAGGTTTTATTTACAGGTCACAGTATTTATGTGGTTCCCCATGCAAGGGGTTTCCTGAGTGACTTTGCAGGGGTTGTACAGTAGAGGACTACATGGGTAACTGCACATACAGGATAATTTTCCCACCATGCACTGCTGTACGAGAGGGATTCTCCCATGAGAATATCCTGTTAAGTGGATTATCCCTCTGTACAGCAGAACCGGTCTTTTCACTTAAAAATGCATAACTTGCCAGTTATTCGTGCTATTTAACTGAATGACATCTATATAGATAGCTGGGATCCGAGCGCATACTTCGGGAAACTACCGCTCAGATCCCAACACAATTAGCCGAATGCCACAGGAAACATTGTTTAATAGGAACACACAAGAAAACACACGAATGAACAGTTTGTATGAAACTACCGAAGAACCGGTGGTCCCGAACGGTCTGGAAGTCCAGCGGTGTTCGTGCCGTTGAGTAGCCGATTTTAGTTCCAGGCACACAACGACCAAACACCGCTGGGCTAAAAGGGGATCCAAGATGGGCGCCGCGTGGTCGGTATCCGAACGGCGACCACCCTGCGAATCAATTAACCGAGGATAGATACACTGTTGCAATCTGTTAATGGGAGCCACACGACCCCCTGTGTGTGGTCTCCCATTCGGTACTTTGTTCGTTTCACGAACAGTGTTGAGAGTCACTGTTCGTGAAACTACCATAGGAATGCTAGCGGCTTTCATGCCACTAGCATACGAATGCCCTCTATCACATTTAAGCAAACAACCTAACATAAGCCATATATCACACATTCTCTCCAGGGCAACCCTTATACATAAAAGAATAGTCTTAAGTGGCTAGGTTCGCCACAGTAACATTGAGTAAGATGTGACCAGTTAAGGTTGGTTTTTGGGTAGCTTTGGAGCAGGCCTGGACTTCTTTTAGAGACAGGATAGCTTGGGAAAACACATACTTCCATGGTTACACCTACATGTTCATTACTCTGATCTTCTGATAACATGCATGGAAAACTGGTTGGCAGAAGAACTGCTGGAGGGATGCAAGCTTTTGTTTTAGCTGGGTGCTGTAAAATGCAACTGAATGCTTTCATCATTATCACACTATAATCTTTTTTTTTTTATTTATTTTTTTCGACATCAGAATATGGAATTACTTGTTTCATTTCATGTGGGTTCACAAATGAATTCATCAAATACCAAATCATCATATGTTGTATTCCAATTCTCTTTCTCTATCTGTCTTTGTCTATTTTAATTTCTATTTCTTCCTTTTATTTGTCTTAACACTATCACAAAGTTTTTAAAAACTAACAAACTAACTGACGAACACACACACCAAAAAAAACAATAAAAAACATATGCTCGGTTCACTGTGCGAGAGAAAAAAACATATATTCCCATGTCGGGCTCTCGGGGTAGGGGAGATCCAGACAATTCCCTATATAAAAGTGGTCCATACAGCTACAGCAGAATTCTTCGCAAGGGGGGCCTCACTACCTGGACTCCATTTTTTTAATCCATTTATCCCAGTATGTATACTGAAATCCCTTATTAGGTGCAAAATTAGTTATGGCCCTTTCCATTTTGCATAGAGTAATGCTTTGAGCCCAGTTATCTACCATAGGAGATTTCCAATTCCTGGCTATTGAAGTTTTAACAGCCATTAAGATATGTAAAATAATGGGTCTAGATTCTTTATTGATGCCCGTCATATCCATATGTAATAGAGCCATACTCAGAGTTAACTCAACCCTTACTTCCAATAAAGATGATAAATATTGGTTTAACTCATCCCATAAAGGTCTATTTTTTTTAAGCAGTCCCACCATATATGTTTGAAGTCTGCAATCCTTTCATTGCATCTCCAGCAATTAGGTAGGGCTGTTGGATACATTTTTGCAATTTTGTAGTGAGTATTGTACCATATGTTTAATATTTTGTAATGAGTTTCATGTATATTTAAACAGTGACAGACTTTTTATAACGTATTTAGGGAGTTGTTCCATTCTTTCATGGTTATATCCTTGGCCAAGTCATAATTCCATTTAATAATTGCCCGGGGGATAGACATTCTCTTAGTCTTATATATTATTTTTTGGCATTTATTTACCAAATGGGTATAGTCTGACTGCTCATATAAGTCTGATAGAAACTTAACTGGTGGTTCCAGAGGAATAAATTTTAAATATGTATTCAAAAAAGTTTTTACCCTAATATATTTGAGCCAATCATCATTAGGTATGTTATATTCAGAGTGGAGTTGTTCAAAAGATTTGACTCTATTTTCTAACAGAAGGTTGGATATCGTTTTTAAACCGTGTGAAATCCAAATTTCTAAATTTATATCTGTCATCATTTCTGCCTGTATTCTTAAATTTATGCTGGGAATTATTTTCTTTTTTAGCCCAATTTTTTTCTTTTTAAATAAAGACCAAGTGGGAAATATTTGTTGGACTGTCAGTGATTTGGAATTTTTGATACATTGATTTGTTTCTTTGTCCATTGACCATAGAAGGGTTCTATAGTCCCTATCTCCCAAGGTCATTATCTGTTCACTTTTGTACCAATTTTCAGTTACAGAGTCTTCCTTATTTATCACTAGAACATGCGCTAATAGATTAGCTTGTACAATGTCTGTAATAATTGGGATACTCATGCCTCCTTCATCTTTTTTCCTGGAAATAATATCTTTTTTAATTCTAGTTTTTTTGTCTGCCCAAATAAATTTGGTAAATGAAGTTTGAATTAATTCTAACCAGCTTTCTGGGATCTTGATAGGGATCATTCTCATAATATACAAGAATTTTGGCACGATATATGCTTTTAGTGTGTTTATTTTCCCTGACCAAGAGATTTCCAGAGTTTTCCATTTCTTCAAATTAAGGTTTGTTTCTTTAATTAAAGGAAGAATATTAATCTCTAGCCATTTCTTTGGGTTTTTAGATATTTTTATACCCAGATATTTAAAGTGACTTTTGACTTGTTTAAATCCATAAATTTTCTCTATACTATCAATATCATTTTGGGACGTATTTAAATATAATGCTGTAGATTTTTCATTTATATATATAATGCTGTAGATTTTATTTATCTTGTAATTAGAAATGCTATAATTTCTCATGGTATTGACCACTTGGTCAATAGTCTTTTGGTTTCTGAACAGTTATCAGTACATCATCAGCATATAGCTTGATTTTTTGGTTATTATTTTCCTTGATTAGATCTTATGTCTACTGCCAAAGGTTCAATCGATAAAATATACAATAATGGTGATAGAGGGCAGCCCTGGCGTGTGCCATTTGAGATTCCAAACCATTTGGACTTAATTCCAGGACCCACTATTCTGCCTTGAGGGTTACTGTATAATGCCATTACTGTACTAAGTATCTCACCTGAAAATCCAAATGACACTAATGACTGTCTGACAAAAGCCCAGCTGACCCTGTCAAATGCTTTTTCAGCATCCAATGACAGGGTCAGCATGGGTATACATTCTTCTCTTGCCTGTTCCAATATCCCTATCGTGTTTCTTATGTGGTTAGTGGAAAGCCGTCCCGGAATAAATCCCACCCGGTCTCTATGTATTATATAGGGGACTATTTGTTTAACTCTATCAGCCAGCAGGGCCGGCGCTACCTGTAAGGCAGACTAGGCAGCCGCCCGAGCGCTCTGCAGAGAGCCTCAGGCGGCTGCAGCTTTGCCCAGGCGGTGCGTCCATGAGGGCGGACCGCACCGCCCGGGCGCAGCCTGAGGAGAGGGGCTGACAGGAGGGAAACGCTGAGCGCTCCCTCCTGTCACTCCCTCTCTGTAGCGTGGCCGAGCCCTGCAGCATGATGGTCCGCGGGTACAGGGAGCATCTGTCTCCTGTACCCGGCCGGACTAACAGGAAGTGCACACAGAGTGTGCACTTCCTGTTAGTCCAGCCGGGTACAGGAACAAGAGCTACCTGTACCCGCGGACTATACTGGGCTCGGCCACGCTACAACTGAGGTAGGGAGGGAGGGGGGGAAGAAGAAATTGGGAGGGAGGGGAAGAATAAATTGTCAGGGAGTGGGGGGAGAAGAAGAAATAGGAGAAGAAATGGGAAGAAGAAACTGTCAGGGAGGGGGGAAAGAAGAAACTGGGGGGAAGAAGAACTTGTCAGGAGGGGAGAAGAAATTGGTAGGGAGGGGGAGAAAAACTAGGGAGGGGAGAAGAAATGGGGAGGGTGGGAGAAAGAACTAGAGAGGGGAAAGAAATGAGGGGAGGGGAAGAAGAAACTGGTAGGAGGGGAGAAGAAATGGGAGGGGGAGAAGAAGAAAATTGGTAGGAGGGGGAGAAGAAGAAATGGGGAGGGGGAGAAGAAGAAATGGGGAGGGGAGGGGGAAGAAGAAGAAATAGGGAGGGGGAGAAGAAATGGGGAGGGTGGGAGAAGAAGAAATTGGTAGGGGAGGGGGGAGAAGAAGAAATAGGGAGAGGGGAGAAGAAGAAATTGACGGGGGTGAGAGTGACAGGGGAGGGAGGGGAAATGAGAGTGGGAAGGGGGAGGGGAGAAGAGAGTGACAAGGGAGAGGGGGGAGAAGAGAGTGACAAGGGAGGGGGGAGAGATTGACATCCATCACACATACATGCAATGCACCCATTGCACACAGAAAAACACACAATGCATTACACACACACACACAAACAATGCAACCCTTACACACAATGCATCCCTTACACACAGAGAAACACACAATGCACCCCTTACACACACTCAATGCACCCCTTACACATGCACACACTGCATCCTGTACATACACAGAAACACACCTTGCAGCCCTTACACATACAAACACAGATTCACACAATGCATTCCTTATACACATATCAGGACATCCCCTACACACTCCACCCCCTGTGAACAAACTCATTAGTGGAACATGAAGGTGGACCCTGGGACCCAGACCTTGAGCTGTGTAAAGGGCCCCCAAAAAATGGAGCTGCTTACCGTTCTCCCAGAACATTGATTTTTGTGACCACAGTTACAAACAGCTTTCAGAGAGCCTGTTCTACACCAGACCAGTGGAGCCAGACTGCAGCAAGAGCCCATCTTCATCCTCATCTCGTTGTAAGTAGGTAATCTAGTATATTATTCGTGGCACTAATCTCTAATTTACCTCACATTAAAGAAACACTATAGTCCCCAGAATCACTGCAGCTTAATGTAGTTGTTCTAGTGTCTATAGCCTGTCCCTGCATGCCTTATAATGTAAACACGGCGGCACTGCAGCACTGGCGTTAGTTAACATGGCAGATCATATGGGTGGAGCACTGTGATGTAACATGGGGGGGCAAACTTTACTTTTGCCTAGGGCGGCAAAAATCCTTGCACCGGCCCTGTCAGCCAGTATTCCCGCATACACCTTGATGTCTACATTTAAAAGAGAGATCGGTCGATAGCTTTCTACTTTCTCTGAGTTCTTATACGGTTTTAATATTGGGACTATGTTGCCCTTAAGCATTTCCTGTGGTATTTTAGTTTTTAATAAAAATTCATTGAAAGTAGTCTTTAGATATGGTGATAACTCCCTTTAAAATAGTCTATAGAAGCTTCCCCTAAAGCCATCTGGCCCTGGCGCTTTATTAGGCTCCAGGGTCTCTATCCGTTTGTATATTTCATATAGGGAGATTGGGACATTCAATTCTTTCAATTGAGTTTCTGAAATTTTTGGAATTATTCTATCTTTAAAATAATCTTTTGGATCAGATTGGTTAGTGGGTAGGTTACATAATGAACGATAGTAATCATTAAAAGCCTTTCATATTCTTTCTGGAGATAAACAAGTCTCACCTTTATATATCATTTTGGAGATTTTATTTTTTTGCTTAATTTCTTTCTTGAGTCTATTAGTTAACAATCTGTCCGCTCTATTGCCTCTGTAGTAGAAGGCTGCTTTTAATCTTTCAAGTGTTTTACTAACCTTCATTAACAATAATTCATTAATCTTGTCTTGTAAACTAGAAATTCTATTCGTCAGCTGTTCATTGGGGGCTATTTTGTTATCTTTTGAGAGATTATATAGTTGAATTTGTAAATTAGTTAACTCTCTTTCACTATAATCTCTGTTCTCAGAGGCTAATTTGATTAATACGCCCCTAATCACCGCTTTATATGAACACCAGATTCCTGAAGGGGAGATTTGATCAGATTGATTTTCTTTAAAATAGTACTCTGTATGCTTCTTTATAAATTCTATATTCTTTTTATTTAACAGGATATTGTTATTTAACCTCCATTCTGGTCTTGTGATTTCAAAGGTATCTTTGAGATCTAAAATAACTGCGTTGTGGTGTGACCATGTGATCTCATTTATTTTAATTGTTTTTGTCTGTTGTGCTAACATAATATCTCCTAATACCAAATCAATACGAGAGTATGCACAATGAGATTTTGAAAAACAAGTAAAATCTGCATCTATTGGATGGAATATCCGCCAGATATCCAATGATGAATAATCTTGAATTGTCTACATTTTTCTGCGCGTTTAAAAAGTCCTCTGTCTTTTATCAGTCCCTTAATTGTTTTTTTTATCTATAAGTGGGTCGCATACTGAATTAAAATCCCCTAGAATCACCGGGATACCTTATTTGACCAATTACATTCCTTTTAGAACTCTACTTATAAATGGTAGTGAAGATTGGTTTGGCGCATACAGATTAGCTATTGTATATATAATGTTATCTATCTCACAAACTATTATGGCAAATCTTCCCTCAATATCTTGTTCTGTATATATACTTCTGAAATTCAATTTTTTAGATATCAATATAGCAACCCCTCGTTTTTTATTGTGTTCAAGAGACGCTGAGAGGACCGTTGTGTAAAATTTAGATCTTAAATTTACGTTATATTTTTTCCTCCAATGCGTCTCATGGATACCACAGACATCTATTTTCTGTTTCTTCAGATATTCTATTAAAATTGATCTCTTAAATGGGGAATTAAGTCCCTGGGTATTTATCGTTGCAAATCTAACCATATTTTCTGACTGTTTCGTTCTTCAAACCATCAGAACCCCCCACCCAGAGCCCATAACGCAAAATTCCAATTCCATCGCAGGTCGAGTAAACATACACACATATAACATTAAAAAAACATCTCTATAGGGGTACCTTCGTGTCCCTGAAGGCACCTTACCCAAGGCCAGGGGCACCTCAATAATTGCCATTAGCATATGGCAACCTGAAAGGAGGACTGCTTGGGGAGCAAATTATTCTTTCATCCTACCTTTATAAATCCCTATATCTGATCCTCATCTCTCTTCCTCTGTATCTACCTAGTATTCTTCTTCCCTTCTTCTCTTTTCTCCCCATCATCTCCATTTCCTGCTTATGAAAGACCAGTGTATGGCCTTCATTATCTAATCTTTATTAAATCAGGTCTTTCTTATCTGGTTAAATTGTCCCTTCCCTCTTCTCTTGCCTCCCTCTCTGTCGACTTTCTCTTTCTTTTTGTCCTCTTCTCTCCCTTCTCATCTATCTAATATATTCTGTTTTGTCCTCATAAATAAAGGGTGTATATTTTGCATGTGTTTAGTGTCGTGGGGTCTCTGCTGTTGGTCTGTGTAAATAATCTGTGTTTCGTGATATACTATATAGTATTTACAATAATTCTCGCTATTATTTTGAGCGTATTGGGTGATATCTTTTTTTTTAAATCTTTATTTTTTATTGTGCGTTGAAAGAAATACATGCAAGCTCGTGGTGCCCCAACAGCATTCCTCGAGCATATTTTCAAGCATAACAGTAGGAGCAGTAAAATAATCAGCACATTTTTGTATAACAACAGTAGCTTAACATTAATATTCGGTATGACTGCGTTTTTGCATGGTTGAGAACCCAGTATCGGCCCGCGTTTACGGCCACAGTTAGCTATATATTAAATGGCGTCCAAAGACTTCCGTGTGGCTAGGCTATCTAGTTCTGCCTCAGGTTTGGGAGCATCAAAACAATCCTGCATCGCCTTTATGCCATGCTGTACAATAGAGGGCTTGTGTGGGCCCGCTCGGCTATTGGGTGATATCTTATCCTATATTCTTATATTATTGTGTATTCTTCTGACTAATAGTGAAATCCTTTTAATAACTTTATGCCTTCTTTATAATTTCTATGTATCTTAGTTTGATACTATTCTTTGCCTATTGTGCTTTAAAATATTATTTTGTACCATTAGTGATTCAAATTAAGTGTGTGGATAACTTTTCAGTATAAACCATCAAGTTAAGATTATGAGGAGAAAATAAATAAATAAAAGAAAATTAAAAAATTAAATTTCTATATTCAGAGCAGATTCACCCTCAAAGGAGGAAGAGTGGCAGGATATACCATATGCGAGCCCCCTGTAGGTCTGAGAAATTAATTGAGAGGACCCCCTTTCACAAGGGAGACTCTTACAGATCCACGGGCAGTGGTGTATCCTGGTTTTGTGCTGCCCTAGGCAGGACAAAACTCAGGCTGCCCCCCCCTCCCCCCTAACCCACCTTCTAAATACACACACACATACATTCACTGCCAGATACGCATACACTCGCTAACAGAAACACACACACACACACTAACAGACACACTCACTGACACACACTAACAGACACACTCACTGACACACACTCACTGACACACACACTCACAGGCAAACACACTCACACAGTCAGACACACACACACACACACTGACACACAGTCAGACACACACATACACACTAACAGACAAACAGTCAGACACACACATACACACTAACAGACAAACACAGTCAGACACACACACACTCACTAGCAGACACACACACACTAACAAACACACTCTCACTGACACACACACTCACAGGCAAACACACTCACACTAGCAGACACACACACACACTAACAGACACACACACACACTAACAGACACAGTCAGACACACACTAACAGACACACACTCACACAATCAGAAACACACACACACACTAACAAAACACACACACATTAACAGACACACACTCACTCACATTAACACATTTTTTTTTTTTAATTTACCCCCCCCAACTTCCTTACCTTTGGGAGTGCTGGGGAGGGGTTCATTACCTCCCTGGTGGTCCAGTGGTTGCCGGCTGGGCTGGGCAGGCGGCTGGCGAGGGAGCTCTTCCCCTGAGCGGTCTGCTCAGCTCCCTCGCGCGCCGCAAAGTGAGGCTGGGAGCCGGAAGATGACGTCATATTCCGGCTCCCAGCCTCACTCTGCGGCGCGCGAGGGAGCTGAGCAGACCGCTCAGGGGAAGAGCTCCCTCGCCAGCCGCCCGCCAGCCCAGCCGGTCAGTTAGCCGCGAGGCTAACAAAGCATTTGCCTGGGCATTTGGGGGGCGGCGTTTGGGGGGCGGCCCCTGTCCACGGGCAAGGAGGTACATTCCTTAACACCCACAGAGTACCCATGTTTGATACCACACGATCAGGCACCCAAGATTTTTTGAATGGGGACAGCCAGACTATCTGGCACACTTCATACTTTCCTGGTTACAAAACCTATGGAAAAAGAGGTGCATGCTCGTCTCCGGCCTGAAGGCCTTCGCCCATTTCTCCCTGACAAGATGACACATATCCCAGGATTCAACACCACTGTGGTGATCTCTATGTCCAGCTCAGGGCAGGAACCCTGGAAGGGCATTGAAAATGGGCTTAAACAGATCAGGATAAATCACTCGACGTGTTCAACCCACGGGCTAAGATACTATTTTTATACAGACTTGGCACTCTCCCAGGGCACTCCAAGGGATGCCAATGACAAATGAACTGGGACGAAACAAGCTAGATGCATTTAGGGCAATACAAAAGATCTCTTTATGACACCTATCACTATAGTTTTGTAATTTCATCACACTTTTTTGTCAGGTCATTTCTACCATTTCATCAACGTGGTGCGATAGGTGATCTCGGCGGTTCACTCTCCACTTCAGGGCATACTGGTAAGTCAGGACCCTTGGTATGCTCTTATTACGAGGTATCTAACGATTCGGACCCTGAGTCCCAGAATACACTCGGCATGGGACGTAGATGTAGTTCTCCGCTTCCTACGTGATTGGCCAGATAATTCGTATCTTTCGCTTCGGCGAAGTTCACACTAACTTTATGTCTCGTTTCCCTCCGTCGGGTGTCGGATGTTCAAAAGTTTTGTACGCGAATAGTTTCTTGATATCTCTAGAAGGCACTGCGTTCATGGTGTCACGGCGGACCGAGACAGATTCAACATCCATGCCATGTCCGTTTTTTTCTCGAAAGGTTCCCTGTCTCTGTGTGGTGAACACTCTACTACGTTATGTTGTGGTAACTACATCTCTTCGGTCTCCAGTCAGACAAATTTCTTATTTTATTTCCGTCAGACTTTACTTTGCTTTTCAGGCACAGCGTTAAAAATGCAAAATACGAAGCCTCCTGTCATGTAAAATTTTAGATTATGCTAACGTAGTGTACCTATAATATTATTTTTAATAATGACAAGAGGCCAGTATTTTCCCTCCCTGGGTTTCCCTCCCTATAACTCTGGTGATATTGGGATGACATTATGTTTCGGTTTATCGTGTTACTGTGTATTAAACTGCAAGTATGTTTCTAGGTATGGTCAACGATTGTATTACTACTCAAGTTGCAAAAATTCTTAAACGTTTAATGTGATACATGGTTTAATACTATTCAAATACGTTTTATTACAAATTGTTGAATATTTTTAGTTTAAATTAGGATTAATATGTGGACAACAATTTATTTCCACCATCTTTCACTTGTTTCTGTTCTTTTCAATGTAATCTTCATTTATGGCCTTGAAAATGGACAAGCTGGACTACTTCACTCTTCAGCTTGAGTTAAGGTTATCAAAGTTATTCAATATTTTCGGGCATTCCCTCCAATGGCCATTGGAGTAACTAAATGACCTCCATTTGTTTAAATATACATAGGGATTAAGGAGAGAGCGCAGGTAACTTTTTTTCTTTGTTTTTTATTCAAGATTTTCGTTACGTTTCCTGATGTTTTCATAGACTGTTTCACATCAAAGAGGAAGAGCTATGCCTGACAGGGCTTTATATGGAGATGATACTTTTTTCTCATTGGTTAAAGTTTTATGATTGACTTGTGCTGCTGGAGGTGTAGTACAAGCTACAAGATGTTCAAGAAAAGTTCAGTACTCACACGGTTAAGACTACTGTGCAACTATCTTGGACCAAGGCGCATGTGTGGAATGTCAGGAACGCCCACTATTAGATAACATGTGTAAGAGATAAGTTTGTTTAATAATTGGATGTAACCATAGTAACGTAGGTGAACTTTCTGTATTCTCTGTATACATATGGAATACGTAATTTACAGTATATATTCTTTGTTTGGAAACTGTCCAGTGCCCAGTACAGCGTGTTGTTTATGATAAAGGTGCTGGGACTTTGCAGCTGCAAACTAATAAAGAGCCTTTGTTCTTCAATGACCTGTGTCTGGAGTCCTTTGGAGAGTCCTTGTTTCATCTCCGGCTCGAGTAGGTTACCACAGAGGCATAAGTAAAGAAAGTTTTGCAAAATCATTATTAAAATTAAGATTATAGGTACACTACGTTAGCATAATCAACAATTCATTACTATATAAGGAATTTGTCTTATGAGCAATTTTCCACCATTTTATCTGATTCTGGATATATCTATTGTGTAAGACTTCTATGGTTATAATGTGTTTAACCCCTTAGTGACGAGACCATTTTTCAATTTTCTTACCGTTAACCCATTAAGGACTGAGCCAAATGTACAAAACAAAACGTAACCAAAACCTTGAATTTGCGATATATGTCTGTTCAGGCGTAATTCGCCTCTTTCATATTATGTGCACCCACACTTATTATATATCATTTTATTCAGGGGAAACAGGGCTTTCATTTAACATCAAATATTTAGGTATGGAACATAATTTAATATGAATAAAATATAAAAAAATGGGAGAAATTTTTTTTTTTTTTTTAAATTAGTTCTACGTCTAACTGTGAATGTCATCATACTATATGCTTTTACTGCAATAAAATACACATATTTGTATTCAGCGATGTCTCACATGTAAAACAGTACCCCCTATGTACAGGTTTTATGGTGTTTTGGGAAGTTACAGGGTCAAATATAGCATGTTACATTTTTCATTTTTTTCACATTGAAATTCGCCAGATTGGTTACGGTGTCTTTGAGACCGTATGGTAGCCCAGGAATGAAGATTACCCCCATGATGGCATACCATTTGCAAAAGTAGACAACCCTAGGTATTGCAAATGGGGTATGTCCAGTCTCTTTTAGTAGCCACTTGGTCACAAACACTGGCCAAAGTTAGTGTTAATATTTGCTTGTGTGTGAAAACTGCAAAAAACTAATTTGAATGCCAATTTTGGCCAGTGTTTGTGACTAAGTGGCTACTAAAAAAGACTGGACATACCCCATTTGCATCGTTGTAAAATATTTTACTGTTTTGAAACACTAATATTTGTGTTAAGCGAAGTCTTCAGAGTAAAACAGTACCCCCCATGTACAGGTTTTATGGTGTCTTGGGAAGTTACAGGGTTAAATATAGTGCTGGCAAATTAAATTCCTTGGACTTTTGGCCTGGGTTGTCAGGCAGGTCCCACAAATTGTAATTAATAAAATGACCTAATTCTGTAACATTATTATATAAATATATACGTAGAATTATTATATACACACGTGTTTTTTTTTTTTAACCTAATTCTGTAACATTATTATATAAATATATACGTAGAATTATTATATACACACACGTGTTTTTTTTTTTTTTGCATACGTTTATTAAAAGTTAAGTTTTATTTTTCTATAGACCTGAGAGTGCTATCACATTCTTCTTTTTATATATATATATAATTTTGTAAAAATTTTTTTATTTATATATAAGTGTATTTATATATATATATATATATATATATATTGATATATACGTATATTCTTATGTATATAGATATACATTATTTCGTTCTACATGTATTTTGATATCAATATATATTAATTTTAAAATACAGTTAGAACGAATTTTAACGTTTTTACATATTTATTTATATATATGGCCTGAATTTGTGGGAGGAGTTATGACCCTATATAAACCCTACCCCCTACTTACCTTTGCTGGTCAAGTTGGTTTGTCTCCATAGTTACCTGCACTTCCTGTTCGTTGTTCCCGCCAGTCCTGCCTCGTACAAACAGTCTATCTTCAGCAGCTCCTGCCGCCGACCTCTGGGCCCGTCCACCGGCTGCCCTGCTGTATTTCGCACTTGTTACCCGGCTATCTGGCTTCTGGTCACGGAACCGGCATGCTCACGTAAGCATCGACGTGGGAAATAGCGTTCGGCTATTTCCCACGTTCGGGCCTAAAACGCAGGTATAGGCTCCCTACATTACTTACCCGTTAGTGTATTTACGCTGTTCATGTACTTCTGCGTTCGTGCGGCTACTAGCCGAACGCAGAGTACACAAGCTTTCATTTTTCTTTCGTTAAAATCTTTAACCGACCGCTTATACTCACCTGTTTCTTACATAAGTTTGTTTAGTCGAAACACGTACGAACGGCTTTTTACAAGCTTTCCGTTTCTCCTTATCTATCACACATGTCCCTGTTATGTCCCTCTTGCACGCTCATTAGCCGAACGCATGAGGTTTAAACATTTAATTTTGATAATTTAAGTAATTATTTATTTTTGAAACATGTGTACACGGTTCTCCCTACGTTTTCCTTAAATCTGAGCATCTCTTTTCACCGCCCATTGTCACATTTAATTATGCATAAATTCCCAAAGGTTTTCTATTAAAGAAACAGTTAACTCTTAAATTTATCCAGCTCCATGCTCAATTTGTTCATTAACTCTTATTTTCTTAAATCTCTGTATGTATTATAAACGCTATACTCTGGTTCCTTATTCTTACTAAAATGAATATGTTTCAGGTTGTACTACTCTTCTTCAAAAAACAAACAAACAAACAAAAAAAACTAATGTGTTAATTTTGTTTCTCTTTTCAACATATCATTACTTAGATAATATTACTCACATACCACTATAGCATGTAAATGGTAATAATGGTTGCTTCAAGATACATGCTAAAAAAGAGAGAGAGGTAGCAGTGCTTTTCAATTAAAAGCTTAAAATTTATTCATCAAAATTAAAAATTGAAATCCACTCACGAACATGAAGTGTAATAAAGCAATTTTGATGAATAAATTTGAAGCTTTTAATTAAAAAGCACTGCTCTTTTTTAGCATGTATCTTGAAGCAACAATTACCATTTACCTGCTATAGTGGTATGTGAGTAATATTATCTTTTATGCAACAATGTGCTATACTTTGTTTCCATCTTATTTTATTTTACCAACACTGGTTATACTGTATCTGCAGTCTGATACATGAATGTTACTATCTTTTTTAAGATAGTGTGTTGACTGTGACAGTGAAATTATTCCACATCGGGTTCATTTTCTACATCAAACAAACTTTGGTATCCAGAACATCAGTTACTGACTTTTACCGTTATACCATTAATCTAGATTCATTCTACAAAGTATTGGACTATTGAGTGGTATTTTATGAAATAGATGAGACTGTGCAGATCTACATTTAAGCCACAGACCATTTAAGTCATATTTGTTTTTTTCATTGCTATTTTATGTCTGCTGAACATTGATTGTTTAGTTAACATTACCCCTCTGCGTGAGACTACTTAGCACTTGGCTGACATCTAGTGTTCGTTTTTCAGATTGTATTCCACCTTTTTATATGTTTGCTACTGTCATTTCAAATTCTTCCAATTGTACTGGTTCTATTTTGCACTTTATTTCTTAGAGCTATCTATATGAATATTAGACTCCATCTTTTATTGGTTTAGGGATCTCCTGGTACGTGTAGGTTTTTACACCTATTTTTATTCACTTATTGCTAAGAGCTTTTATGGGGGCTTTTCTTTACCAGTAGAGACTCTTATTCCTATCCCTGTTTCTTTCCACTGTCTCCACTCTCAAGGGTTAGATAATTCTACCCAATATATTCATATCATTACTTAGACCTGCACCAATTAGTAGATTCACCATGCCTTCAACGACCAACAGGCTGCCTGGTCCCTGACGTTTCAGTATCAGGTATCAGTAATCTTACTCACTACGATTACGCTCCTTCTAAAGCCTCACTTTGCCTTCATATCGTTCACAAATGGAGACACATTTATGGGATCCCAGGGGCTTGTCTCAAAAATTTGGACCAACGTTCAGGTCCCTCAGCTTACACAGGTGCTTACGCTACAGTTTTACTGTTACACACCTTTCCATACGATCTACATTTTTACACTTGGAATACCAGTTTAATGCATCAAGCCTACTAGCATCTTTTTTACCCCTAGGTTCCTGGACTGGACCTGTTCTTCACAGTATATATATTTATACGTATATATTGAAGTCACCCGGAGCATTGTCTCAATATACAGGTCAAACACTCAAGGTCAGTATCTACATACGTAACATACTTCCGTCAAGAGACAAGTCCCTGTCAGGTTAGAGAACTGGCTTTCAGGGTCAGGCGCTGGCCCTAGCTTTCCCAAATAATTCTGCGGTCCGCGAGGTCTACACCCCCACCTCAGCCCCACGACCAAATCATAGCTCTGGTCTTCCCAATAGCCGTATTGCCCAGATACAGTCTGTGATGAATGCTGCCGCCAGACTGATTTTCCTCTCTAGTCGGACCTCTCACACCTCACCCCTCTGTCAGTCCTTACATTGGCTTCCTGTATCCTATAGGAGTCAATTCAAAAGTGCTAACCCATACCTATAAAGCACTGAATAATCTTAGCCCCTCTTATATCTCCTCACAGATCCATAGGTATGCCGCTTCTCGGTCTCTCCGCTCTGCCTGTGACCTTCTTCTGTCCGCTGCTCGTACCCGTACGGCCAACTTACGCTTGCATGACTTTTCGCTGGAAGCTCCCGTCCTATGGAATAGCCTGCCTACCACCATCAGACTCCCCCCTAGTCTTCAATCCCCTAGCCTTAAAACTCATTTCTTTAGGAAAGTCTATGGCCTCCCAGACTAACCTCTACCTCACATACCTGTCTCTTGCTCTCTCCTAAAGGGCAGCACGCTACTCTCTCCTCCAGCTCTGCTTCACTCCCACCTATTTTGACTTCTATTCCCTGTCCTAATGTGTTTTATACCCCACCTCCTATAGACTGTAAGCTCGTTTGAGCAGGGCCCTCTTCAACCCTTCGTTTCTGTGAGTTTTCTTGTAATTGTCCTATTTATAGTCAAATCCCCCCTCTAATAATATTGTGAAGCACTATGGAATTTGTTGGCGCTATATAAATCACAATAATAATAACAATAGCTAGCCACCTCGCTCGCTCTTCTTTGGGCTACAGTTAGGGCTTCCCACGTCACGGCCACACGTTTTTGAATCTCTTAAGGTCACCGAGAGGCCAACATCCTGCCACCTTGTTCTGGTGGCCACAAAACCCCTTCGGCCCACTTGGCAATAGCAGGGCCTCACCTGTCACTTGGTTCTAGGTAAATTCTTCGCCTCGGCACTAGCTAGCAGGCCAGTTCTCCGGAGGTCTCAGCCCACCTCTACTATGCCCTACTTATCCATATCATTATTCCTTTCAGAATGTCTCAAGAACCGACCATCGATTCACCATCAGACGATGTACCCTAGCACGCCAGCCAGGCCTGGGTCTCCGGAGGAATCCCTCACTCCTTCTACTCCCACATCCCTAAGATATTGGACCATTACCAAAATATCGGCGGTAGAAAGGCTGAACTTTACAAACTTCTGACGGCTCAGGCCAACGACCCAAGGCCCGGCACGAGTTGGCTACTCTGATTCCACCCAGGACACTCTGGCTGCTATACTGGCCAATCAGCAGGTTGCTGAAGGTGGAATCGGCCATAGCCACTCCAGGTGACTTTCCAGCCCCAGCAGTTCCTACTCCGGTAACCTCGACCGCTCAGGCTGCCATACCCCTCATCTCCCCTCCCCCGCCAGTCACTACCACCGCCGCGTCTCACCAGCCCACTCTGACCCGGCTTCCATCAAGAAAGATATTCTTGATGGAAAGGACGTCAATTTAATGTCCCTCCTCATAGCCTCACAAGACATCTTAGAGAATAGAGCTTACAACTATAGGGACATTTCTGTAGACCTATGAGCCAGAGATCCACGTCTGAACAAAAAACTCACCATTCCACAGTTTGTTATCGCTTTTGGCACTTATCGAGATGTTATTTGCACGATGTACCCACATAGGAGAGAAGAGCTTGATTTGTACATGCACAAGGTTGTTGATTTGGGCATCAAGTACGGAGGGTCCTCATTTTATGATTACCACAAATCCGTTTCGGCCAAGGCAGCAACTCATCTGGCACAGTTCAATATTAGAATTGATTGGTGCCGGATAGATACCGTGTTGTTTTGCCGTCATTTTGCTGGTTTGAGGCCCCCGTCTTGTGCCTCTTGTTGTTCCACTTCACACTCCACCGACCTATGACCAGGAGACACAGACCCATCCACTTCCACCTCCACACCCCACCACTCCTTCACCACACTCAAAAGACAGGAAGGCGGCCAGAGAGACAAGCTGGGCAGACCCATCATATTCTCGGGTAAGGCGCAGGTGTGCAATAACTTTAATAAAGGCGCATGCAGCTACAGCGCATGCAGGATGTTGCACATCTGCTCCATCTGCTTCAGAGCTCACACCAAGACCATGTGCACAACCCATCTGACACCTAACAAATAGTTGGTTCTACCCGCACTCTCCACCTACTGGGCAACAGAGAACTATCTGGTGTTGGGTCCTTCCCACAGGCTCTCACACGGGACTCACGAACTTCCACTTACTTTCCAATCACACGACCTAAACCAGGGGTTACCAGCATGTTACGGCATCACGTACAGTGGACTTCCGTTTGTCCAAGCATACGTCAACACCAAGTCTAAACCATGTCTCATCCCAAGCGTACCTACCCCTTTACGGGGGGCTACTTACTTGCACTCCAAGTAATAAAAGTTTGTTATTTGACCTTTCGTATCTCTTTACTTTCCCTTCAGATCCAGCTTTAGGCTCTCTCTTACCCGACGTATAGTTCTTGTTGTTTTTACCTACATTCTACTTTTACACTCTTTTACGCTCTCAATTTCAGGTCTCCGGCCAGGCTCCCCCTCCTGCCCACCTCCAACGATCCAGGACACCGCCGTTCCGCCGGCTAATCCTGGTTTAAACAAGCTATTACTCCACGCACAAGCATTCATGCACCACGTACTATCTCCCAACACCACTATCTCTTACGCTAGGGCACTGACTATTTTTAACAAATTCATCGCCGAGTTTTGCTTACACGGTGATCTTTCCATCAAAACCATGGTGGCTTTTGCCTCCTTTTGCCATTAACACCTAAACCTTTCACACAACACTATCGAACTCTACCTTACCGGAGTACAACACCACATCCTAACTACTTTCCCTAACCACACTACTTTTCTGTCTTCCTACCCCATCAAGAAAATCCTCAAAGGTATTTTTAAGGTCACAGTTCCTCCTAGCACTACTAGGTTACCAATAGACGGTCCAATTTTCAGGCTCCGTAGCGATCTGTTGGACAAATCCCTGTTTGACCATAGTACTAATTGGGTCATTAAATCCGCCATATTTTTGGCTTTCTACGGTTTCCTGAGACCTAAAGAGTTCACCGTGATACGTCAAGGAGACACAGTCCAATGTCTAAAACTTTCTCACTTAAAGAAAGTGGACGACCATTACAAACTCTCATTACATTCTACTAAAACCAATCACTCTGCCTATCCTACTATCATTCCCCTCTTCCCTACCGACAATCTGTGGAGCCCAGTACATATTCTGGATTTGCTCCTGTTATCTCACCACACTCACTCTCCAGACACTCCACTACTTCTACTCCAAGGACACCCACTCACCACAGCTAAATTTATTTCACACATCAGAACTCTACTATCAAGGTTGGGCTACAACCCAGCTTCCTTCTCTGGTCACTCGTTTCACATCGGCGAAGCATCATCGGCTTCAAGCACTAACACTCCAGTACACATCATTAAGGGACTAGGACGCTGGTAATCCTCCATATACAACACCTACATCCCTCGACCAGAAAAGGAGCTTAGGCAAGCCTTCAGAAATCTCGCTGTTTAAACTTGCAATAAAGTGTGTTTACTTTGAATTCCTTTTTGCACTCTTTTTACAGGCCTACATGTACGTAAGTTTCGGCACACCTCAACCAACTTTGCTACTCCTCTACATTCCATTACATATTAGAGATTCCGAGCACAAATATATATATTAAAATACACTTAGACAGTGTATGATGTGTATATAATAAATATATATATATGATCAAAGTATATATAATTGAATTTTACACTGTTTTAACATTTATTTTTTTTCAGGCAGCAGGGGGAGTACCTGTTATTACAGGCACTTCCCCTGCTGGCACTGCCTTGGACGGCTATGTGATCGTGAGGTCCTCGCAAGGACCTCGCGATCACATGGCCGGGGGGAGGGGGCATAGGGGGACTGCCAGGTGAGTCCCCACACCGCGATCGTCGGCGACCAGGTAAGTACAAAGGACGGCGGGGAGGTGCTATGCCATCCCCCGGCGTTTAGAGCCGGGTCCCCAAGGATGGCATAGCACACCCGCCATCCTTAAGGGGTTAAGGAATAGTGCTCTTTTTACATTTCTGCAGTGTTTGTGTTTAGCTGTAACTTTCCTCTTACTCATTTACTGTACCCATACATATTATATACCGTTTTTCTTGCCATTAAATTGTCTTTCTAAAGATACAATTATTTTTATCATATCATAATTTTCTATAAAAAACAAAAACAAATGAAATATGATGGGGAAAAAAAGAAACACCTTTTCTAACTTTGACCCCCAAAATCTGTTACGCAATTACAACCACCAAAAAACACCCGTGCTAAATAGTATTCACTAAACTGAGAATATTCACACGTTAAATCTAAACACTGACAGGATTATTCAATAAACATAGAATATTCACACGTTAAATCTAAACACTGACAGAATTATTCACTAAACTGAGATTATTCACACGTTAAATGTAAATACTGTCAGGATTATTCACTAAACTGAGAATATTCACACGTTAAATGTAAACACTGACAGGATTATTCACTAAACTGAGAATATTCACACGTTAAATGTAAACACTGACAGGATTAGTCACTAAACTGAGAATATTCACACGTTAAATGTAAACACTGACAGGATTAGTCACTAAACTGAGAATATTCACGCGTTAAATGTAAACACTGACAGGATTATTCACTAAACTGAGAATATTCACACGTTAAATGTAAACACTGACAGGATTATTCACTAAATGGAGAATATTCACACGTTAAATGTAAACACCGACAGGATTATTCACTAAACGGAGAATATTCACACGTTAAATGTAAACACCGACAGGATTATTCACTAAACGGAGAATATTCACACGTTAAATTTAAACACTGACAGGATTATTCACTAAACTGAAAATATTCACACGTTAAACCAGAAACACTGACAGGATTATTCACTAAACTGAGAATATTCACACGTTAAATGTAAACACCGACAGGATTATTCACTAAACGGAGAATAGTCAAACGTTAAATGTAAACACTGACAGGATTATTCACTAAACGGAGAATATTCACACGTTAAATGTAAACACCAACAGGCTTATTCACTAAATGGAGAATATTCACACGTTAAATGTAAACACTGACAGGATTATTCACTAAACGGAGAATATTCACATGTTAAACCAGAAACACTGACAGGATTATTCACTAAACGGAGAATATTCACACGTTAAACCAGAAACACTGACAGGATTATTCACTAAACTGAGAATATTCACACGTTAAATGTAAACACTGACAGGAGTATTCACTAAACGGAGAATATTCACACGTTAAATGTGTATACTGACAGGATTATTCACTAAACTGAGAATATTCACACGTTAAATGTAAACACTGACAGAATTATTCACTAAACTGAGAATATTCACACGTTAAATGTAAACACTGACAGAATTATTCACTAAACTGAGAATATTTACGCGTTAAATGTAAACACAGACAGGATTATTCACTAAACTGAGAATATTCATACGTTAAATGTAAACACCTACAGGATTATTCACTAAACGGAAAATATTCACACGTTAAATGTAAACACTGACAGGATTATTCACTAAATGGAGAATATTCATACGTTAAATGTAAACACCTACAGGATTATTCACTAAACTGAGAATATTCACACGTTAAATGTAAACACTGACAGGATTATTCACTAAACGGAGAATATTCACACGTTAAATGTAAACACCGACAGGATTATTCACTAAACGGAGAATATTCACACGTTAAATGTAAACACTGACAGGATTATTCACTAAACGGAGAATATTCACACATTAAACCAGAAACACTGACAGGATTATTCACTAAACTGAGAATATTCACACGTTAAATGTAAACACTGACAGGATTATTCACTAAACGGAGAATATTCACACGTTAAATGCAAACACTGACAGGATTATTCACTAAACGGAGAATATTCACACGTTAAATGTAAACACTGACAGGGTTATTCACTAAACGGAGAATATTCACACATTAAACCAGAAACACTGACAGGATTATTCACTAAACTGAGAATATTCACACGTTAAATGTAAACACTGACAGGATTATTCACTAAACGGAGAATATTCACACGTTAAATGTAAACACTGACAGGATTATTCACTAAACTGAGAATATTCACACGTTAAACCAGAAACACCGACAGGATTATTCACTAAACGGAGAATATTCACACGTTAAATGTAAACACTGACAGGATTATTCACTAAATGGAGAATATTCACACGTTAAATGTAAACACTGACAGGATTATTCACTAAATGGAGAATATTCACACGTTAAATGTAAATACTGACAGGATTATTCACTAAACGGAGAATATTCACACGTTAAATGTGAATACTGACAGGATTATTCACTAAACTGAGAATATTCACACGTTAAATGTAAACACTGACAGGATTAGTCACTAAACGGAGAATATTCACGCGTTAAATGTAAACACACCGGCTGGTGGATTATTCAAATACTAAACTGAGAATATTCACACGTTAAAAGTAAACACTGACAGGATTATTCACTAAACGGAGAATATTCACACGTTAAATGTAAACACCGACAGGATTATTCACTAAACTGAGAATATTCACACGTTAAATGTAAACACCAACAGGATTATTCACTAAACGGAGAATATTCACACGTTAAATGTAAACACTGACAGGATTATTCACTAAATGGAGAATATTCACACGTTAAATGTAAATACTGACAGGATTATTCACTAAACGGAGAATATTCACACGTTAAATGTGAATACTGACAGGATTATTCACTAAACTGAGAATATTCACACGTTAAATGTAAACACTGACAGGATTATTCACTAAACTGAGAATATTCACACGTTAAAAGTAAACACTGACAGGATTATTCACTAAACGGAGAATATTCACACGTTAAATGTAAACACCGACAGGATTATTCACTAAACTGAGAATATTCACACGTTAAAAGTAAACACTGACAGGATTATTCACTAAACTGAGAATATTCACACGTTAAACTGTGGTGGAATCTCGGTAAAAATAAATTTAGTAGGCCGAGATTACCACGTGGCATGTGTACGTGCATATGCTGACGTATCGATCAGTTGGTTGCACGAGGCAAGATACGATCAGTAGTGTACGGAGCATGTGCAAGAATACAGGATGTAGTATTCCCCTCCTCCATTGTGCTGGACAAGCCATGCGGTCAAGCAGGAAGTTAATTCTTATTTGTAATGATTGGTCAAGAGAATGTGCGGGTGGAGCTTAATATGGGAGGAGTTATGTGCCTATATAGGAAGCCTGCACTATTGTTCAGGGCTCAGAACTTGCTGTATTTTTGGTGACATTAGTCCCTCTGAGTCCCGATCGGTGATCCAATAAAGAATCTCTTCCTTCCTGAAGAAACCTGTGTCCATCCCTCTGTGCTTTGCTTCCGTCAGTTTCTCCGGTATCATTTGGTGCATTGGCCG